ATTTTTCTATTTAAATTGCATAAACGTTCCTCATTAATGTTTTCTCATCTATGGTATCTATAATTTATTAATTGAAATGCAACAATTAGCACAGATCATAGGATGTTTCAGAGGGGCCAAAAGACCCCATGGATTAGCTCATCTTCACTGTCAAGTCAGAATTTCCGATATTGTAAAAATAAAGTTCGGTATACGATCGACCCATCTAACGTTAGCTAAGGATGTAATAGTAAAAGAAGCTAACTTGTGAGTCATTTCATATTCTTTTATGGGAGCAAAGCAATCGAAACCATAGTCGACAAATTTCAATTTTCAAATAAAAGGAAAAAGGCAATTATTTTTTATTTATTTATTTTTGTATTATAGAACTTTGGAAATTCACAAACACGAGATAGAAAAAGATTGGTTGCATGAAGTTGTAAAAGTTGCATTGGGAAATGTACAGTAACAGAAGTCAAATGCTTTTTTGCAATTTCAAGAAGATTTTGTTGTGTTGACTTTAGGCTGGAATTTATAGTTGTGGCAGAAACAGTTTTGATGGTATCCTTATTATGCAAATTTATGGTTCATTGAGAAATATTCAACACATTTGCGTCGCCGACAGTGAGAACCGGTTGTGTTACTGCTACATTATATTATTCGACTTCAAATCATATAGTTGTACAGTTGTCGAATATTCATAGGATAGCACACACTTTTATCGCCATTCAGTAATTTATCAGCAATGATGAGATTAGCTGCTTCCGTGGGATGGTATGCATCCCAAAACACGTACTTTGATCGATCATCACAGAGAGCTGACGAACTCGTGTTAGCATTTTTCCCCTTGAAACAAAGAAATGGCGGAAAATATCCACCACAACACGGACCATCATTATTCACAAATCCTACCAAAGCATTCACAATTCAATTAGTTAGCGTTCATGAAAACGACCAAGAGATTAAACCAAGTAAAATAAAGTCTCTAATTTTACCGTATTTGGGAAAATTGAGGATGATTTCTCTGAAAACATCGTAGGAATTGGCATACACAAATATCGCGTTACGTCCCATATTGTTGTTCATCTGATCAAGCTCCTCCTTCAGTTTCTTATTATACTCTCGTACCAGAGCATTTACCTTAGCCGAGCATTTTCCACCTAGAATATTAAGGCTGATGGCACGAATAAACGGTATGCATCCAAGAGGACCAATGTTAACGACGACAAATTTTCGTGCTCCTAACCTATGGAGTTCCTTTTCTTGCACAAAAAATCCGAAAATGAGAACCACTGATGCAAGTAAAATAGCCTAAATGAAAGATTATTTATAGTTTGGTACCTTAAGTTGCACGGTCAAATTGGAAATCATGAAATCTTGAAACTCTGTTGGAGAAACCTTGTCGCCGAATAGTGGAATGGAAGGTTGGAAGTAATTCAAAACATCGTTTGATCCAATTGTTAAGGAAAAGATCGCATTTTTTAAGATAGTATTAGTCGTGTTTTCTCCAACCATGTTCACCATGTATGATCTGGTTTGCTCGAAATTGTTAATTTGCTGCCTCAGTGGCACTCTCCCTATCTGACAGGAAATTAAGTACTCATCAAATGATTTTTCATAATTATTTACTAAAAAAAGTAACAAGAATAATACATACAAAGAGGGTTCCTGTCTGATCCAAGATCCCTGATGCTCCTGAAGCATAATTGATTCCAGTACGAAAGGCGGTGGCAGCTGCAATATTAGGTGCGAAGTACGGTGGAGGAAATGACTTGCCTCCTAGAGCTTCACCTGGACAGATCATAAATTTAAACTTTGAAGAAAAATGAAGTGTAGTTTTTACTTAGCAGAACGCAGTGGAAAATTAATTACCGACTATGTCTGCTATAGTACGACCATTAGTGAATCTCCCGGTAGGTTGGCCACCCGAGGGACTAAAGTCGATGCCATAAGGAGGAGAGTCTGCCTTTGATAAGGTAATTAAGTAATTGTTGTTACCAGCATCGACCAAAGAGTCTCCAAACACAAATGCTGTGTAACAAACGCAGCGCCAAACATTATTTACAGATAAAGTAATTATCAAAACGAGAGCAGGCACGACTGGAATCTCCATTGTCATTGGTACATGGTTAAAAAAGTTATCTCACATTCATGGATATATACACTACAAGTTTCAGTGCAAGATATCTGTGTGACCTGCTACAAGAAGGTACAGTTTGAACAAGTCTAGATATGTGAATTGGTCCATATATCATATCATCAGCAGATACTGAACAAAATCTTGTAAACATGACATTAGCCGGAGCTAGAATATAAATTTTCTAAACTTGTATCGTCTGGTGAACTCAAAATGGCATTACGCGTCTAGGTGCTTTTCAACTGGAGTCGACATTTTCTGGTGCGGGTGTAAGGGGCTGTCAAGTACCGACTTGCTAATTAGAAGTCCTTCAAATTTAGTCCCATGTTCGACATACATTTTTTAAAAATATATTCTTTCAAAGCTCATTTTTAACCACACATTTTTCAATAAAATAATATTTTCTATCACATCAATAACTTTTCCTTACTTTTTAATTACATATTTCCCATTATATCACTATTTAAAATACATTATTTCCTCAATAATATCGATCAAATACACCTAGTCAATATCTACTTTAACGGCAATTCGACCTAAGATTGATATTTCCGGGCCAAGGAGCTGAGTGAAGGTACGTACGAGGCGTTCCTTGAACTTTCAAACTTGCCAGAATATTAATGTAACACCTACTATCAAGGCTTTTTAACAAGTTAGTACACTTGTGACTTCTTTGCGTCCTAATTAAATTATGCAAAACAAATGAAAGTATTGGAATGATTCTTAAAATCAGCTCAAGCTATAATATGTGCACAATTTACAGTAGAAAAACCTCAAGCTAGCTATCATAATTAAGAAAGCACGATGAATAATGTTAAGCTTGGATCACAAAAACGTGTTTTTGAAAATATATATAGGGGCTGGTCCAAGATAGGGGCTTGTCCAGCCAGCACTCCATGAGGGCAAGTCGAGGCTGGTCTAGCCAGCCCTCCATGAAATTTGGTCGAACTTGACCAGCCTCTTATAGGGGCTGGTCCAACCAGCCATTGTAGGGGTTGGTTTCACCAGCCCTCCATTTTCAAAGGTAATTCACGCGACATTCGAGCAAATTCTCATTTTAATCATTATCAGAGTCGAAATTTAAGGTGTCTATATCCGCGTGGGGCTTGACACATCTTAAATTCATGAGGACCACATGACATATCATTCAACATAGTCCTTGTTTAAGGAAAAAAAATAGCTCATGGCTCAATGCTTTATTACTTCAGCAATTGATTGTACGCAAAACTAATACAGATGGAACTAGTGTTAAATTTGTTGGATATTGTTGGACAAGCTTCATTAAACTGAATATCGAATTTACTAATTGAGTACAGGATATGTAGAATAGATACCGTATTAATGAATTTTACTCAAGGCGTCGGCATGCCCTACTGAATTGAAATTCTGCCAATTTCACTTAAAGCGTGGGCACGCCTTACTGAATTGAAATTCTGCCATAAGTGGAAGATTCACGCCGTATTTGCCGTTAACAGGATATGCACTAGCAAATTTAACAACTATGAATACAATATATTCAATTATACATACCAGATTTAATATTCTAGCAAATTCAATAATGTGTCAACTTGTAGTGAGTATAACAAGTAATAAAATTGTAAGTAGAGATGCAAATATAAATTTGCATAAACGAGTGACAAAACAAATACTTGCAGAAGTTAAATAAAAGGAAAACTTTTAACCCGAGACCTGTGTTACACACAGTTTCCTTAAAATAGATTCGCTCCCCCACCGTCTGTGCTTGAGGTTTAAACTGAGNGTCCGACATTCGTGTACGTAGGTCGTGTCCGCACACAAGTTCAAGATCCGAAACCTCTTTCAGTCAGTGATTTGCACCCCCCTTGTGCACACGTGGAGAGAGCATCCATGCTACACATGATTATTCCATTTTAAAGTATAATCATCTATAAAGTGATTTTAGTTTTCGTCGACTTCCTATGTGGGACAAACTTATTTGGTTTTTAGTTTTCTTACTAACATAAACTCCTTTTACATGACATATTTTGAGTTTCAATTTCTCATTCACCCGAGCATCATTTTTGACAAGTAAGTATATGATTTCGAGGTACTCACGGAGGAGAACACAAATCAACTTTCATCTTCTAAAATAACCAAACGAGTCCTGCTCAAAATTCGTGCCAAAATCAGCCACAATTCAATTTTTTCCAACAGAATTATCGCAGCGTAGTTATTGGAGGTATTTTCTCTAGAATCCAAGAAGTAGTCTCACACGAGACGAGGTTCATGATTCGTTACAAGAATCTTCTACTCTTCAAGTCAAAGTAATTAAGAGAAGGACTTCACACCAGCTACAAATTAAACCTATTCCCATTGAATATTTGTACACGTTAATTAATTATACGTAGTTTTACACACTGATTAGTTATACGTAGTTTTGCTAGCATTGAGTAACGACACCAAAGTCACGCGTACAAAAGATGTTTGCCTGTGGTTTCTCTATCAGCACGATCCGGCCGTCCTAAATGTGAAATGCTGCAAGACATGTATGGGTCTAAGTTATTGAGAAAGAAATTGCATCTAGTTGTTTCACGAGGAGATTCAACCACCAACAACCTTTTTTCCTTGTCCAGCAAAGGATTTTAATGTAACAATTATTTCATTTATCCGATGTTACGTGTCTGAAAACCCTATTTCTCTCTCTTTCACCCTTTTCTTTTCTCTCCACAGAATTTTAAGCACTGCTACACGGTTTCCATAAATAGCAAACTACTTCACTGCTACCTTTCATTATTTCCATTGTCCCGTTTGCAAACAAAAACCAGAGCCACACCTTATTTTTAAAATTTTCATTTTTCGCCAAAGAGAACGAACAAGAAGCTTGTTTATGAATCTTGCGACTCAATTTTTCTCGAAAATTTTGTCAATGGAACAACCCAAATCAGTTCTCACGATGACAGGCAGATTTGCGAATGAAATATTGAGCTTCATTATCTTCACTCTATTAGACATCCTCGATTTCTTGTTATGTTATGTTTACAAAATACTAGATTATCTAATCGAAGCAGAATGGAAACCGTGTTATTGTTCTTCTGAGAAAGAAGCCATTACCAGCAGTGGCAAGATCTTAGTCTCCGAACATGGAGAATCAAAAATTTTGTACCTCACTCCCACCAAGTTACGGCTCGAGGAAATCTCAGACACGCTCTATACTCGCCCTTCATTGGTGTCCGAGGTTTCAAAATCGACCGTGGATGAGCTAAAGAGGGTGAAAACAGAAGGCAATAGTATGATACAATCCCGAGAAAAAATCGACAAGAGAGGAGGAACTATTCGATCCACATTCACCATTAACTCCACCATCGTCGAAATGTTACAAGGGAGGATACAGAAACTTCCTATTCCCAGATGGTCGGATTGCGATTGCAAAACCTGCACTTGCTGGACTTCTTGCAAAGAATCACTATTCGTCAAAGCTGACGGAGCTAAAGGTAATAAAAATTTAAAAACACAACTACAGTTTCACTGATAGTAACTAGCCAGTAGCCAGTACACTAATTTGAACTGATCATTTCTTGTTGAAAGCAGAAAATGTGCAAGAAGATGTTTTGTTCATTCATGGATTCATCTCGTCGTCTGCATTCTGGACCGAAACATTATATCCAAACTTCTCAAAGACTACGAAATCAAAGTACAGGTTACTCGCAGTGGATCTGCTCGGTTTTGGGAAGAGTCCGAAGCCAAACGATTCTCTTTATACTCTAAGAGAACATTTAGACATGATTGAGAAGTCTGTTCTTGAGGAATACAAAGTGAAATCTTTTCACATTGTGGCACATTCAATGGGTTGCATTTTGGCTCTTGCACTTGCTGTCAATCATCCTGCATCTGTCAAGTCCCTAACTCTACTTGCACCAGTAAGTCAATATTCCTAATCAACCCATTAATTTAGTTTTAATTTTTCAGTGCATATGAATTAATTTTGTGGGCTCCTAAAAATGGCAGCCATATTTTCCGGCACCGAAGGGTGAACAACCATCACAATATATGATGAAAAGGGTGGCACCACGTCGAGTTTGGCCACTGATCACGTTTGGGGCATCGTTAGGTTGCTGGTACGAGCACATCGGTCGAACCGTTTCCCTAGTGCTATGCAAGAACCACCGTCTGTGGGAATTTCTCACCAAACTTTTCACCAGAAACAGGTGCTTACAAGTCTCCTAGCTACGACGTACCACACATCAGATATAGGAGCGTAAATGTGTGAAAATGAACTGGATTTTGCTACATGTACATCGAAATTTACATAAAGAATACACTTTATCATTTATCAATTTAAAACACAATCACCTTTACATCATTTTCGGTAACCGTTTATGTACCATTTTGATATACAAGTAGCAAAATCCAAATGCACCTAGCTAATCTAACCTCTATCTCGTTTAGATAAAAATCATGATTTTAACAGATTTTAATAATAATTAATGAAATATATGATGGAAAAATTGTGGCTCTCATAGAAGAGTAATGCTATTTAGTCCCATTGAGGTTAATGCTCCAGTTTATGTGGCTTTAAATAATAGGTTAAATGAAAAGTGAAATTAAATAACTTATCTAATTTTACCTATCATTTAATGCCATATCAACGCCACCTAAACTTGGATTGTAATCCTAGAGTCGCTAAATAACATTACTCCCCCACAGAATGTATATTTAATCAGTTTTTTTTAGCTGAACCATAGACAACCCAACAAAGTCTTTCTAGGTGTCAGCATTTATGTGAAGTTCATAACCAAAACTACCCTACTTGGGTTTTCAAATTAGTTTTATGTAGACACATGGTCATACACAAGTAATTATCACCATTTTGCATTTTCACCAAAATTTCTTTTTTCGACTGAACTAATTTGAAACAAAATTATGTGTACACAGGATAAGAACATACTTGATGGAGGGGTTCTTCTGTCACACGCACATCGCAGCATGGCATACGCTGCACAACATAATATGTGGCACCGCCGGACTAATGGAAAGATACTTGCACGAGGTTAAGAATGTGGTAAAGTGCGACGTGAATATATTCCACGGTAAAGATGATGAACTCATTCCAGTCGAGTGCAGTTACAGCGTTAAATCAATAATTCCCCGAGCTAGAGTTAAGGTTGTCGAAAACAAAGATCACATCACAATAGTTGTCGGAAGGCAGCAGGCCTTTGCTAGGGAACTCGAGCAGATATGGAGAAATGCAAGCGCAATTTAAGTTATAGTATATAGAGTAAAAATGAATACAAATGTCTCTTATTTGATCAGGATTGATTTGGTATTTTGCATGTTTTCGATTCCTTGCTGTTTCTTATATGAATTGTCAAGTCTCGATTAATCATCCTAATTTGGCATGGAATGAGATAATTTTAGTATATAATATTGATTTTTGCCTCGAGATTGTCCTATGAAGTTGGAATGTATTTTGATTCATCGGTCAATGATTCAGTGGATCCAATATATAGAAACAAAGTAGTGGGGTGGGGTCACAGGGGTTTGGGGTGGGTGTCGACTATTTCGTCCACACTCTTAATAAATAATTTGTTGTGTGAAGCAATTAATAAATATTTATGACAATAAATTGCATGGCAGAAGACTGATGCACAAAAGAGGTCTATACAATAAATGCTAGAATAAATCAATAGCCTGCTTCTCACCAACTGGCTACTCTGGTTGTTCTTCTACATAATTTACATAACGCGCTTTTTATTATTATTATAATTACAATGATGGGCCAGTCAAGTAGAGACGAAAGATCTGGAATCGGACTAAACTATTTTATGTTTTGAATAATTCCTTAGTACATGAAATTTTGCCAGAGTTTGTACAAAATTTTGAATTGAAAAAATTCCGTGTGTGCCCCTATGTTTTCTCTCCTCCATATTTGAATCCAGTCCATCCATTTCAAATTTCTGAAATTTTTGTGTATTCTGTAAAATTTACCTGTACTCATAGCATAGTTCGGGAAGAGAGTCTAGTATGGTACCGATTTATCAATGTATGTATAAGTTCTTGCACCTTTAAGCAGCGGCGGAGCAACACGGGGTCAGGGTGGCGATTGCCTCCGTAACATTTTAAAATTGTTGAAAATATATGTAGAAATTCTGAAATTTCTTAATTATATAACATAATATATAATATATTTATATTTTGCCACCCTCACAATCTTTTCGCCCCACCAACATGAAGATCCTGCCTTCAGTATGCTAACTCGGGATGGAATTGAATTTTTTTTTTTTTTCAAGAAAATGAAAGTTTCTAAAAGAGTTTCTTCATCGAACACTCAAAACAGTGGGGTGTTCGTTAACATGGAGAGATAAGAGGATTAATGCTATTCATCGATTCTGGTATTGAACTGACATCTAAGTCCTACTGCCACTTAGACTGTTGTTCATAACATTATTATGGGAGACAGCATTTGATAATGAGCCAGTAGGAAAAGGAACAACCTAACAATTGCAAGCTGTACTATAAATATTCTAAATATCACTCCACAATTTCTTCATACAAATGAACTGTATAGAATATTTCTACTAGTGGTGCTTGGGTTAGAATTTTCTTAGGAGAACTCAATACAGATATATCTGCTAATAATTCTTTAGTTTTTGAGGTCAGTAAGCTTATAATCTTACTACATTTGGGCTCTGGAATGTGTAGATGTTGATGGTGAATTATTTAATATGTTTTTCTCCTTCTAATTTTAGCTTTGACAATTGACATAGAAAAGTACTTAATTTAGCTCGAAGATAGCAGCCTCAAAATCCACCAATTGCAACCTGGAATAGTCAATATTTCTTTTCTAATGTTCCAACTCAGTATATGTGCACTCTTTAAGTCTCTGACTATACCTCAAGTTGGTGAAGGCCCATGCTTTGAGCTGTGCCAGGACGAGCATCATCCAGATTCGTGCTAGACGTTACAATTGAAGACCTAGCTTGCTCCAAATGTTCCAAGAAATCCATAACTACAGGATCGGTCCAAGGAGCTCCAAGTGGAGCTTCCCCACCTGCCACCCACCCCAAATGGCCACCTTTCGGAGTAACCACCAACAAACAGTTTGGATTTTCCTGAGGCATATAAAGAATTGGGGAAAAATGAGTAAAACTGTCCAACTATTCAAGACAAGGAACCCAAAAAAATGGTTCTAACATCTTGATCTTGATACTCTTTATTTATTTGGTACAGAACCATGTGATGACATGAACGCTGAACCTCGCCAATTTTATCATATCTTTGCACGAAGCATACTTTTAGAATATTTTATCTTATTAACATATTGCAGAAGATTTCCCAATCTAATATAAACGATTTGTTTCTTATTACCCTTCTCAGTAGTCTTCATTTTTGTACGAGGGGACCAATTGGAGAAATGTGTAAAACCACCTAAAATTATTTGGTCAACTAAATAAAAAGAGAATGTATAGGCATTAAGCATTTTTAATCATGTTTTGATCATTTCTTCTGAAAATGTGGAAAATGAATTTCAAGAAAACGCCAACAAACACCTGCAGGCTGCACCATCCATTTCATTTTCTTTTTTGGGTATGAAACTCATGCCATGACCTAGCGAAATGGAATAATATTAGGGCAACAGGCCAGATATTTGCATACCTTGATATCTTCACGCGGAATTCCCCGAGATGGAGCAATTGGATCATTTGCAGCCTGAATATCATTTTAAAAAAATTATGTCGAACATTTGCTTCCAAGCAAAATCATACCTAACAGATGCTTTTATCCCAACAATGTTCCCTTATTTTATATCTCCCCAAAATTAATCAATTTGGGAAATGTTTACCAGAAATTTCTTCAAGGGTAAAAAAACATAGAAGATAGAAAAATAACTTATAGAAATTGTTACAAGGCACAAAAGAAAAAAATGTGAAATAACTCGTCGAAGCACATAAAGGAAAAGGAAGGTGATGTGAAGTACTATAAGAGTAATCAACATAGTAATTTTATACAAAAAATATATATTTTTATTTTTGGAATATAATCAGTAATAAAATGGGTTGAGTTTTCTTAAACCAAACCATTTTTAACCGGTTCAAGTTTTCTCAAACCTAAACCTAACAGTTTGGTCCTACTTTAAACCGTAGTTTGACTATAAATTTTCTTCCTGTTCACTTTATCGTCATTAGTTCATTGGTTGTAACATATTTTCATACTTTATTAACGATAAAAGAAAAAACTATATACATCAAACAATAAATTTAAGTGGTTGGAATTGTGGAGCTTTTGTTTCTAATGTTTGTGAGACGAAGAGGGTTTCGACTTTGGTGCAAGGGCTTTGGCTTTGATGGATCGATCAGTCATAGGGTCATAAAATTAGGGTATTATTGATTATTAGTATTTAATAATGGAAAATTGACCAAAGTACCAGTTGTTTTATCAAAATTTCAATAGTTACTCACTCCGTCCCATAAAGATAGGCTTGCTTTTTTTCATTCATTTTCCCAAATTATAATCTGATTTCCTTGTTGAGGGTGTAATTGATTTCCTAGTTTTCTAGTATGCCCTTATTTAATATACCTTGTTATCAACAAATATGAACTAATTCTATTTAAATCATTATTCAATGCGGGGTATATTAGAAAGAATATAAGTAAAATTTATTGTTCCAACTATATTAATTAAATTTTTCTTAATTTGTGAGAAAACGAAGTTTATCTTTGTGGGATGGAGAGAGTATATTTGATTTGAATGTTAAGATTGTAATTTATCATTCAAATTTCTAGGGATTTTTTTTTTTAAACGGTATGGTTCAGTTTCCACCATTAAATTTTCGAAACCTAAACCAAACCATTTTAGAATAGCTTGGGTTTAGTTTAAGGGTGTGTCTGGGTGCGATTTATTTCCAATGCCAATCAATTAATGGACCGTTGGTGCCTGGAAGATGGGTCCCAGTTTGCAGCAACATTTGACTTCCTCGCAGTAAAATGTCGAAAATGCCCAGTATCATGCAAAATGAGTTTTGAGTTAATGGCAAAAAGGTCATTTTGCTATAAAATTCTCAGAAAGTGTGCTGCCATGTCAGTGTACCTGCAAAATTCTTGAAAAGCAACGGTCCATTTTCTCTTAAATCAACGGTCCAATTTTCAATTTTCAGTGCGGCCAGACTCACTCTAAAACTCTTTTGTAGACAGGTTCACATGGCACCAAACCAAGGTTTCAAAAAGGTGGCTTCGGTTCGATTTTCTGATTCGTAGATTTTTGGTTACAACCCACCTTAAATAAACAAACCACTCTATTCTATAACAAATTAAACCGCAGGTTTCTCAATTTTTCTTCAATGGCTATATATTTCCAATGTTACAAGATTTCAAAGATAGTATCATAATTTGTAAAAGCACTTGCCTGAATGCAAAGAAGAGGTATTGAGACATTCTTTATGGAATCTGAGCTGCTTGAGTTGGAGTAGTAATCATCCACCGATTTAAATCCAAATGAAACTGAAAGTGTTACAAGGAATAAGCAATGAGTAGGCAAGCAAAATTTAGAGTTATTTATGCATCTATAATTGACTACATGCCTCGTGTTAGTCCCTCATCAAATTCTCTGACAGATTTGGCGTTATCAGTCATTGGAATATCAAATTCACCTCCGATGTCCTCGAAAAGAAGAGCATGCCTGCAGAAATGACAAATTTCTGTTAAACAATCTACAAATTGAATTCTAAAAGTCACATTGATACAAATAATGACAAGAAAATAATCCAATTGTTACTTCTTGAAAATTTTGCAGAGTGAATTTGCTAGAGCTTTGTCATATACAATATTAAAGCCCTTACGAAAGTCTTCATCTGCAATTACCAAGTTGAATGGATTGCACAAGGATACAGCGCCAGAAAGAGGGCAAGAATGAGATTCCTGTAACAAGATGTCGAATTATATATAAGATAAACATCGTAGATTTAGCTAAGCGGAAAAAATTGGAAAATTCAAAGGAGAGACACCACAAAAAGTAGCCAGAGTAGCTAGTTTATGTAGCTAAAAAATGAGACCATGTCCCATTATACAATTCAATATCCACAAACATATAAGCAATATGCTCCAAAAACAGAATTATTTAGTATTGATTTTAGTGAACGTCTCAATATCTATGTTTTTTCTTTCATTGGAACACTTGGAGAATGATGTAGGGCCTGTTTTTGTATTGGCAGGAAATTGCCATGTAACATCGTGGACTTAGTGAGAGAGGTTAGGAGGTGTAAACAGTGAGTTCTTATGGCCCAATATCAATTTAATCTTTTAGAACATCGCATAGAGTTGCATAACAAAGGCCAAAAATGGTAACTCAGGAATGGAGCATGGAGTCGTATGTTAGGTAACTCTGAAATGGTATCTCTTCCATGCTCTAGCTTATAATACGGTACTATGATGCACCTCCGTGTCCGATACGATAAGTGTCGGATATGCCGACACGCTATTTTTAAAAATAGTACAGGACACATTTTCGACACGTTGATTAAATTATTAAAAGTTCTTCATTTATACAGTATAAATTTATTTTTATACTTGTTATTAATTTTTCACGTTGAAATCTTTTAAACATGGGTATCTTTTTGTTACTTGCTAATAACTTTAAGTTAACAATATATAATATTTCTAATATAAAAAGAAAAATGATTACGGTAGAGTGTCCGAGAAGTGTCGGTATCGACTCGTGTCCGACACGGACACACTACCCTAATTGAAGTGTCCGTGCTAATTTTATACTTGTTATTAATTTTTCTTGTTGAAATCTTTTAAATATGAATACCTATTTGTTACTTGCTAATAACTTTGAATTAACAATATATAATATTTCTAATATAAAAAGAAAAATGATTACGGTAGAGTGTCCAAGAAGTGTCGGTATCGACTCTTGTCCGACACGGACACACTACCCTAATTGAAGTGTCCGTGCTACGGATATACGGTATGGATAGACAAATGAGTTACCACAGTTTTCTCGTGGCTGCTAGAGGAAATGATTATATGATGAAATACTCCTAAGAAAAGAGAGAAAATTTGTCAGGCTAGAATGTTAATGTATTTTTATTGCCAAGCAAATGGATATCTTTTGCTTCCCTAATGAGTAATTGTCAGAGAAGTTAAAGCTTTATTCCGTGTATGCTACACAGTATAGGCCGTAGTGCAAGAGAGAAAATTTTAACTTATTTTCTTCTTCAATATTGTCCATTGTTATCTAATCCACATTATCACCATGCCATTAGTGAATACTTTAAGACACTTGGAGAAAAGCACGCTTTATACAAACACTATCTATAGCTTACTGGCAACGACACCACATTAAGCGACTAGTCGAACTAAAACAGGATTTATAGCCATAAATAGAACTTGAGAAGAATGACCAATCAGACATGAATATGCAGTTCTGTTACCTGACCCAAATATCGAACAAGAATATTTGCTCCAAGCGACCAGCCAACAGCATATAAATTAGCTCTTGGGTAGCGGTTGCCAACATGTGCAACCACCTCAGATATATCGCCAAGAAATGAAGCTGAATAAAACTGCAGTACTTAATTAATTTACCGCAATAAGAACTTTGACTAAAGTATTGGATTGATTTACTGTTAGGAAGTGAAAAAAAACTTTAATTATTTTGTCTTATTTTCAGAAATACTTGAACCATAGCATCCTGCACTAGTTATGATCTCAACATTTCATCAATACTGATTATTTAATTAAATTATTAAAACTTGAAAGCATTTGAAAAACTACCTGAGGTGTGGTAACAGGGCTGTCTCCACAACCTCTGCTATTAAACACCACCACGCGCCATCCCTTGTTCCTAGCTCTCAACAGCATATGCCTCACATATGTGTCGCCACTCCCACCAGTAAGACCTGGCTGCAACCACCCATGGTTAGCACATTTTCAACTCTCTCCGAGACAACCATGCACACTCAATCTCAATCCCTCACAACAAGTGCATTGCAGTTGAGCACTACTTCAAAATCTATCTACAGATACATATAAACATTGTAGACCTATGTATTTCAGCTCTTTTAAACTGATTATGTATATCCCTTCTGACTTACTAAAATAATTAGAAACTGTGGGTCAGTTGTATTTGTATCAGCTGTCACCAAACTTTCACCTCAACAGCAATTAGTTCACTGAACTTCAATTTGCAGCAATCAGGTGCAATCAGGGCGCGGCCAGATGACCATAAAGTTAAAAACTTTTCATCAATTCTTGCAACTGAGCCCATTATAGTCTATATCCTAGAAACACTTTCAGAAGAATTTATAGCATTATACAAATATAAAGACCCAAAAACACGCACCAGCAAAATGAGCACCGGAGACTCAGAAGGAAGCGTTCTATCATCGCCGGAGACCCAGTCGAGGGCGACGGCACCGTTGTCTTGAGTGCGGAGACACTCACGCCGGAATCTGACGTCGGGTAGGGACCGGAAGAACGCAGCGAAAATGGTCTCCACGTGCCGGTTCCAACCAAAAACCGGATAAGGATTGTACGGTAGATTGATGGTTTTGAATGCCGGGAGCAATTTCTCCATAGCTCCGCCGATAACTTCTAGCGATGGGTGGTGGTCGTTAGAGGAATTAGCCATAGTGGCGGCGGAGGTGGTGGAGGAGCGCAGAGTCAAATGACGTGAGGCTTTTGAAGGGAAAGCGCAATGGGATTGCTTGAGATGGCGTAGAGAGAAGGAAAGAGGACTGGCGAAGCCCAACGAGGTTATCGCCATTAGCGAGTTAAACGGTAGAAACTATGTGGGCGATGACAAAAAGTTAAGAATATTCCTTGTAAATTTTAGTTTTCCTCGTGTTCAATTTAGAAGAAAACGTTGTGGTGGGGCCCCTACCTCTATTCTTTTTAAACCACACATTTTTTTGGCTTGGTGTATTTGATCGCGGATACGAAATTTGCATATAAAAGAAATAAATTTTAACAAATTCAATTGTCTAAAATTTATTTTTATAAATGTATTTTCTATACTTATTCGGGGCTTAAAACTATAGAATTTTATTGATTTTTTGACAAAATTTTACATAATTTATGTTATATTGCATTGTGTAGGTAAAACTTTATGTTTGATGAAAAATTGGAGAAAAGAAGTAAAATATGGTGAAAAATGGTAAAATTCAAAGTTCGAGGATCAAATTACAAATACTCAAGAAGATACTTTGAAAATTGTTAGGAGACAATTGGATTGAAATTAGAATTCAAAAAGGAATGGAACATGATCAAAGTATTATTAAAATCAATTTCCAATCGCTCAAGATATATTCCAGATTTTTAGCCGAATATTGAGATCCATTTTTGGCATAATAAACGTCCGAATTGAAAAAACTCTATTTCAATCAAAGTTGTAGCCCTTTAAGTTATCTTTCCAACTCACTTTGAATCGCATCAATCAGATATCAGAAGAGAAAGTTACGACTAAAATACGGACTGCTGTGCAGAGACAAAAAATCCGCGAGCGAAAACAACTTTCCTTATTCGATTAGAACTCTTTTGGAAACCAATTTGGACGT